TAACCGTTATCAGTATTTAGTTACTTCGGCATCATTTTGAAACGTGTATTACAATTAAATCACGGTAAAATAGGTTCATTTTGTCGTAGTTGGTTTCCACCACAGTATTTACATGGAAATAAGCCCCGCCCCCTCTCCAGCGCGTCCTGTTTGAATGACAGGAGTAAACACAGCTGACAGCCGCGGTGAAACTCCAGCGGTTAGGGTGAGAATATTCGCATCGCGTCCGTTGTGAACGCAGCATAATGCAGTTCAGAAACCACTGTTCTGACGCTTTTAAAGCAACTTAGAGATTTTAACACTATCAGGGGCACACGGGCCATGGTGGCCGTAGGACGTACAATTATTTTCGGGGCTTCACGGCCAGACCGCCGTGAAAATCCTACCCTGGTGCACTATCACGATAGATATGATATCTCTGAAAAGGCATATCATGGAGACCTAATATCGTCCAGCCCTAATTGTACAATAGAAATTAAAAAGACAATAAATAAACAAGAAAGTAGAAAATATACATGTTGAATTTACAAATTAACAATAACAAGATATAAAGCAAGGTATTATATATACATAAGTATGTGACAGATGGAATATTAAATATTAAACTGAATAGATAAATGTACAGTGTGATTTTATTCCAAGAGAAACTATGGATATCTATTTCTAAGATTGGAAATGGTTAAATGTCTCACCTTAGCGAGTCGTCTGCTGCTGGTTCTGGACGTAACTGGAGTTTTCCCTCGGCTCCTCAGAGCCTTCTCCACCACGGGAACGGGCTCTGGTTCAGCAATCTCCTCTGAAAACACACGTAATGTTTAAACAAACAAACAAACAAAGTTTAAGTGAATAAACAACATGCGTTAAGCTTTGTCAGAGCTCAGCTTACCATCTTCCTTGTCACTGTAGTGGTCAGAGTTTGTGTTTCCGTTCTGGTTACTGTCGACCTTGGGGAGAGCTGTGACCTCTGTGACCTCTGCAGGAGCTGCAGGCTCGGCTGGAGGCTGCTCCAAAGCCTTCTGCAGCTTCTTCTCATACAGCTTACGGGTGGTGGCTGTATGACGGGGAGGAGGGGACAATCAAGAATGAATAACATGCAATACATTGATGGATTTTATGTAATTTGGTTCAATTGAGTTATTAAGTCTGATAACTTGCATAAGTGTTCGTACAGCTTTTTAAAAGTGTAATTCAAGCATTTTTCCACGTAACCAAATTAAAAACCAAGAGCCTCAAAGCAGTTTTCCTCATATCTAAATATTAACTACAAATGCAATTGTGGAAAATGTAACTTTAAACAATGTCTTTATGCCCAAAGATATCGATGCATGTTGTCACTTATTTGGCCAGCTGTTCTTATAAACACTTATAGTATGGTTTACATAAGCAATAATGTTGCAAAATCAAGCATTTTCCACATTTTATATATAAGGATATACCTAGCCTTAAAAATCTACAGTTAAAACTTTTTTTTTTAAAAACATCATCTAATAACTGTGTTTGGAATACAGCTGGTCAAATGTCTGAATAAGCTTTAAGTCAAAATCTGTTGGTGAAAATAGGAATGTAGCGTTTACTTAAATGAGTGATTGTAACTTAATTTAAGACTAAAAACATGTCTACACAAAGTTAGATGCACTCATTTTAAGTTTACTTTGAATTAATCGCTTTGTTACTTTGATTTCAAAAGTGGTAAAAACATAATGATGATAAATAAATATATTACTTATTTCATGCCTTTGTATTTAAAAAAACAAAACTAAAATCTAATCCTTTATCCCTTATTGGAAACGTTTTTGTTCCACAAAAGACTGAGATGGGGCTCCATGAACTCACCAACAATGGGTCCTATTTCCACACCATGTTTGGCCAGCTGTTGTTTTAAATCTTCATCTGTGAGATCTGTCACCTCTGCTTCCTCTGAGCGAGGCTTGTCTGTCTTTTTTGTAGCTTTCTGCAAGAAAGGTTTAAGTTGTATATCATTCATCAACTCATAACTTAAACGTGTCCCATCATTCAGCACCACTTCACAGTTAATACGTGAATTAGCAGAACAATTAAATAAAACCTACTCTTCCAGATCGACTTTTGTTGGACACCACGGGAGTGGGCAACTCTTCATCGCTGGAGAAGGTGTCTACAGGCGGGCTCTTCTTATCGTTGAGCACCGTTAGGTTCTTCAGATACAGCTGCACGTACACCTCTTTCTTATGCTCTCCGCTGGGAAGTGCCACATTGTTTGCTGTGAGCTCATTCTTCAGCTTATCCTTCGTGAGGACCGACGGATCTTCCAGGAATTCAGCCATGCTTAACTTTTTTATTTTTAATATATCGTGGTGCGCTTTTGTCTTTTCTGCAGTTTGCGCCTAAACGGAAACTAGCTCAGTTCACTTTAGCGGCTACAAACAACAACACCGGGAAACGTGACTGAAACGCGCTGATGTCAAACACCCGACTGGCGCCAATTTAGCTCGCTAGCACAGAAGCGGCTTACAAAGTAAATACCGGGTTTAAGTGTTAGCCTGCTGGCTGTTATAGGAACAAATAGCTTTGGTATTTTTCAATCTGATTCGAGCATGTGCCGCAAACGGGACTAATGCAAACTATCAAAACAAAAAAAGCGCAAATTTGATTGAATTAGCTTAGCTTGAAACCGGTCCACTTGTGCTCGGTCTGTCCGCGGTCTCAACAGGGCCCCAACAACAACAACCAGCCCTGCTATTGGACGAGAGGTGTCAGCAAGCTGCGCTCTCATTGGCTGGCTATGATTGGGAAGGCCACAAAGAAACGGCAGCAGGCCGTGTGTTTACAATGGGCGTTATACATCCATTGTTAAATCCCGCATACGCTATTTACATTAGTGTTTGACTTAACTGGCGTTAGTGTTTTTAAGAAGTAGACAAATAAAAATGAACATTATTTATTTGAGTAGCATTGAGTGACGACAGAACAATGCTAATAGTGGTTAGATTGTAGTGGTTGCTAACAGGAGTTCCACCTGTGTAGCATGTTTGTAGCAAGAGTTATATAGTTGGTTTCAGTGCATTTCTTAGATTACAATTGCAATTTTCAACCAAATGTGTTTAAACTCCACATCATCTAGTCGCTTTTTCACATCATAAAAGCATTTTTCGACAGTCCTTGTGTAGTTTTTTGTCCATTATGACTGTTAACCTTTTATTATTTCCCTTCTTAAACTTTTTGTCATACTTTTGACTGTGTAGTAGGGAGGGTGGGTGTGTTAAGAGTCAACACGTGTTGGTTTATGTTCAACTATCTGTTGTAAGACAAACAAATTACAAGCCTCTATTCTATTTGTGGGGGCACGGCACCGCACCGCCAAGGCACACANCCCCCCCCCCCCAACGTTCTTGTTGCTCTGTGTTGCGTTGTTAATTAGTGAAACACACCGGAGTTGAGGATCTGTGGGGTTTATTCTCCCAAAAATATAATTTACAATTTAGACATTTAGCAGACACCTTATTCCAAACCGATTTACAATGACCAATTACAGGGACATTCTCCCTGGAGTAACCGAGGGCTAAGTGCCTTGCTCAAGGGCACACTAGTAGTGATGTTCCAGGCAGGATTTGAATTCGCAACCTTCCGATCATCAGCCCACCTCACTATTCATTAGACCACCAAAAAAAAAAAAA